ACTAAATTGCCCAGGCTGGCCTTGATTTAGAATCCTCCTGCCTCAGCCACTGGGATTAGACATATATAACCAGGCCCTGCAAAGTTGCTATAGTTTTCATGGCTTGCTATAAATATAGAAAGAAGAGTGATAGTTTCTGGGGGTGGGAAAGAGATGAAAAAATAAATATTCTAATAGAAAGAAATAAAGGTTTAGATACCTGCCACATGCAAAGCATTAGACTAAGCATTTTAAAATTAACAAATTTATGATGTAAGCGTGATCTTAGTGTGAAAGACTTGGAACAAGAGGTATGTGAAATACTAAGCAACTTGACCAATATTACTCCGCTTTTAAGCGATGGTAGTAGGTTTCATATCCGTTCTCTTTTCAATGAACCATGCTGCCTAGAAGAAAAAGTTGAGGCTCCAAAACTGTAAGACAAAACTTTTTCTCTATTTTTATATAAAATTTATGAGCAGATTAGCATTAGCTTCATCTCACAGAAGAAAAAGTTTAATTTAGAAACATGATAAACACAAGATAAATAGAAATGCAACTAAAAAACAAGTTTAAGCAAAATTTCTCAATTAGTGAGCTGGTTACTAACTAAGAAGAATCAGATCTTATTATGTTTTGTTTGAATAATTCTACCTTATAATTCATGAAAAATCTTACCTGTTCAGAAAGAAGAGTCTGTAGTTTCTGAACTTCTAGTTGTAATGCTTTGTTTTGGTCATTTAGAATCTGGAACAAAGAATCTCAATTTACCAAGTTTTTCAAGGAAAAAAAAATCACACTCATATTATATATACTTTTAAGTACTCACAAAGAGACAGATGAACTGCATGCTGATGTAAAAATTCAGATCTCACTGATTATAGCCTAGCAATCAGATATTCAAATGGATTGGCCATGACCAAAAACTAGCACTACAGCAACAGTGGAGACAGACAGAACAGTCACACATTTAAAACACCTGCTGAAAACTGCCCAGGAAAGATTGGGGCAAAATAAATCTCAAAAATTCATTACAAAAATAGATAAGACGGAATCTAGCAAAAATTTAAAAAAAAAAATCTATGATATAATGATATAATCTATGATATAATTTAGTTCCATAAAGAAGAAATAAACTATAGAAATACTGTAGAAAAAAAATACTATAGAAGCAAGTTCATATAAAAAGTAGTATTTCTAGATTCATTACAACTGAAAATTACACAAGGCTATTCTAAGAAAACAGTGTAAAAGTTTAATCACACACCTTAAATTCTTCAATTTTGTTTGAAATTTCACACTGTAGCTGCTCTTCCAGCAATCGTATTTTATCATCCTTAATATGAACACTATAGGAAAAAAGCATCAATTAAAAACACTTCACATTCAAAAATTTACATAACCTATGTACACAACTATCAGTTATTAAGTAGCAACATTTTCTACAACAACTATACTTCAACATTAATGTATGAATACATACAACAACAACTTAATCACCTTTTTTGAATCTTCTCTAATTCATGTGCTGCAGCAGCCTGTGTTTGGAATAAAATAAGAATTTTATTTCTCAGGAAACACTCAAAACTACTTAAGTTTTATTTTCTATATTTAATGTAAAGTAATGGCAATATCACACATTTCTATAATATGTTTTACAGTCCAATATTTTTTTACTTCTCCCTGATCTATCTTTACCCTAATAAAGGAGTTGTCCTCTTTAAATGGAAAAAGGCTAAAACAAGGTAGCTAAAACTCACTACTATAATATCTCAG